ACACACACACACACACACACACACACACACACACACACACACACACAGAGAGAGAGAGAGACCAGCAGTCCTGCATTCGGGAGGGGAGGAGGGGAAAGAGAGGCAGCAACTTGTACAGATTATCTGTAAATTATAAGAATTTTACGTCATTTTGCAGGTATACGGACGTATAGAGCAATCTCACAGATTTTTTCAAGTCTTACGGATATTTTAAAAACCTCATTTTCAAATTTATCTAACATGTCAGAGCCTATAGGATGATTACATCCACTCTTGACTAAATCCAATTTACTTATAAATTCCTTTAAAACTCACCAAAGAGAACAAAACGCTGCAAAATAGTAAAAATCATGCAAACTAAAAAATATATAAAGAGTGAAAACAGAGCATTAAAATTGATACAAATCATAAAAACCAACATGTTATGATGATTAAACAGCTTCGACTCTATGTTTGAACCTGTTAATGTTGCACAAAACAAAACATATTAATTATAAATTATATTTAAATATAAATATTGTGATCTTACTCTTGTTTTAATCATATTGATTCAAAACATGGATTTCTGGGGTTTAAAGGTGGTATTCAGTTTTTAAGTGACGGTACTTTCACAAGTGATTTTCTTTACTAAAAAATACCGGAATCCAATCTGACCAAAATAAATAAACAAAAAGAGCAAGATAAGGGGACTGAAGGGTAGGAAACGGCGAAGGGAGAGAAGCAGACATTATTCAGGCAAATATTTGGGTGAGAGGGAAACAATCAGGACATTAGAGAGGAAAAGACCACAGGAAATGTGGAAGTTTCCTTTGGATGTGAGGTATTCCTGATGTCCATTTTCCCCAACAGCAGAGTCAGAGAAAGTCACAGAAAGGAAGAGAAAAGATTTTATTCTGCAGATGCTGCTAGACGACAAGAAAGGACAATTTGCAGACTTTTGGAAAATAAGAACTTTGATCAGTTTGAGAACAACCACAGCTTTAGAAAAGATCCCTCTTTTACATTTTTCCTTTTATTTTGGTTGATAAGTCTTTGGAGCTCATTTGTTGGTCCTGTACCCCCGTGGTCCTTCAACCCTGGATCTTCTTCTTCAGCTGCTGAACTCCATGACTCCTCGCTCGTTGGGCTGAGTGAACTCTTTCAGCCTCGCAGATCTCTGGACCCTGGTGGACTCTTGTAGCCATGTTGCGTTGCGTTCTTCAGCGGGCCAACAATTTGAGGCGCTCGGACCCTTTAGCCAGTGTCACGTTCAGAGGTAAGGAAGCCAGTCAGAGCTGTGGTGATGACCTGTCCTCTTGTTGGGACAGAGACACATGAGTGAGACGAACAATCATTCAGGTTCTTACACATAGGGACAATTAAAACTCACCAAATAACTCACATGTTTCTGAAGTTTCTGAAAAGTTCATTAGAATTAACCTGGTTATGATTGGGACTTGTAAATTAAAATTAAAATTAGCTTTTAAATTTGACATTAAGTTAGCTTTGCTAAGTATTTAACTGTTAGCTTAAACACAGTGATGAAAAATGTCAAATAAACAGCATTTAGAAGTATAACTGCAATGTTTGTTTCTTAATTTCCAACCAGTCTTGTTTTGATAGGTAGGCTAATTTGGCTAGCTAACAAATAAAACATAATAGAAAATAAAAACTGTGGCATAATTAATTGCTAATAGTAATACTGATCAACACTGATGACAGGTTATTTATTTGTAATACTATTGCCATTATTATTATGTGTTTGACAATTAAGAAAAATTAGTTATGCTAAAATTTTAGCCTCGTTGCTAAAAACAACATCAGAACTAAAAGTAATTTACTTTATATACAAAATGATCAGTTTTTTAAACATTAACGGCAAATATTTTTTAACTTATAAAAGACAGTTAAAATCATTATCTTTTTATTTAACCAACATTGTCCCACCATTAAAGTACAGTTTAAACCAGAAACACCAAAGTCACATTAACACAACTCCAGATATCTTTTCAAATGAATTTATATAAATGTTTTTAGAGCGTTTCATTGTTATTTCGATCTGTAACCAAAAACCTGAAATATCCACATCTGGATGGTGAGAACGTTACTGTTAACAACATATCAAAAATACAAAGAAAAATAATTTTAGCAGGATTAAAAATTCTCTCAAAATAAGTCTTTTTTTCCCTTTAAAGCCACCAACTACTTTCTCTGTTTCAACACATTGTAGAAATGGAACGTCACCAGGATCAAGAGTTAAATAAAACAAAAAAGAAAATGGTAAAATGGCTTCATTGTTGATTTGGTTTTTAAAGCACACAGTGTTAAAATAGGCTGCTGCTAATAGGGCTGCACAATGTATCCCAAATATATCATCATCTCAGTATCAGTGTGTGCAACTTTCATATCGCACTGCTTGGAGTGCGTTTATTGTTGGTTAATGCAGAGGTTCTCAAACTGGGGTCCCAGGACTCTCAGCAGTTCGCGAGAGGTATCTTGGGGGTCCTCAAAAAATGTCACTAAATTGTTGATTAGGTTTTTATTTTTAAAAATGCACGGAGAACAATGAACTAATAAAACAAATATAATAAACTTACTAATAATATATATTCCCTTGGCATTTAGGGGTTGAAATGACAATAAATTATCTTTTAAAACAGCATGGGGTTTATGAGGGGGTCCCTGGAATTTTTTGCACCCTCGTAAGGGGTCGCCAAACCCAAATGGCTTGAGAACCCCTGGGTTAATGCATTGGAAGAGTTTGAAGTTGTATTTTATTCATGCTAATGCAATACTTAGCCAGCAGGATGATTCTATTCTATTTCAGTTCTTTGAGTCACAAATTAATTCTATTTAAATTTGCTTTAGTTTGCTTTAAATGCTTTAATATCCATTTCATAGCAAGAAGTGCACAAATAATTTAGTCCTTCTGGATGATTTCTAGATATTTATTTTCTTGCCCACATAAACAGATATGGCATACATCAACATTTCTCAGAAATAAAATACCTGAAAATAAAGCAGTGGCACAATAATACTGATAATAACCTGATGAACTGGACAAAGGACTGAATTGATTTAGAGAATTTTCTAAATCGATATTGATTGGAAAAATATATTTCAGTACACTGATGAATCAATATTTTTACCCACCAGTAATAATTTAATTGTTTGAATCAGGTGTGTTGAAGCAGGTAAGAAGCTAAAACATGCAGGAGATTGGGCAAATAGTAATGGGGCTGGGGATTAGGGGTGTAAGAAAATATCGATACACTGAAATATCGCGATATTTCATTTCCCGATACTGTATCGATATTCTAAAGCCCTGTATCGATTTTTTATTAAGGTTTAAAATGTCAACTTTCCTGCCAGCCGTTCATTTTTATGTTGTAGTTCAGCCTCTGACCACTAGTGGGCCGCAGTGAGCCATTTGGCTCCTCTACATCTTGAGGTAGAGGCTATTGTTAAGTGTTGGGTGACCATATTGTAAATTAATATTAAAAAATAAAAGCTGCAAAAAACATATTTTCAAACTATTTATTGGCAAATTTAGTCTAATAATTGAAAACATGGATGAAATAAGAAATATGAAACAAATAAAATAAAATGCATACAAAGCAGAACACAGCTAAATGTATCAAAAGTTTGTCTATGTAATATTAGAATTTTGGTTTTTCCTTTTTTTTTACTGTAAGAGTTTTTTATTTAATAGAACTTTTGGACAAAAAAATCGCAATATATCGTCTTGCTCACAGTATCGCAATATATCGGGATATATCATATCGTGACCCCTCTGTCATGATATGTATCGTATCGCCAAATTCTTGCCAATACACAGCCCTACCCACCAGTAGTAATTTAATTGTTTGAATCAGGTGTGTTGAAGCAGGTAAGAAGCTAAAACGTGCAGGAGATTGGGCAAATATTAACGGGTCTGGGGACCTCTGTAAACGGCGCCCAAGTCTGTCGAAATGGAAACCGTTCAAATGTTCTTCTTGTTGCTAAAAAGCTTGAGTCTCCAAATTTCATTTATCTAATTTAGATTTGGCTGAAAGAAAGAGTTCATGACAGAAAAGCAACAACCTGTCCTCCATCATCTTGTTTTTTTGTACTTTCCACAAGTTTCCCTCCTTAATGAGGCAAATGTGCTCTTAACTTCCTCCTTTTGTCCGTCCACAATTTCCTGATGCCATCAGACAATATAGCTACCTCACTCTCAGCCCACTAGATCAAACCTGAAGGGACAAATCAAGGCTTAAGTGGAACTCTTGAGTCTTAAACTGGTCTTAACTGGACTTAAATCCTGTAACTTCAGTGGAAAAGATTCACAGGTTCATTGCTTTCTGTTAGTTTCCAACTTCTGCAAAGTTTGACCAAGTTTTTCCTGATAAAACCAGGATGAAACTGAACACTCATTGGTTCTGTCTACCTTTTTTTTAATGATGGTTTGAGTATAAAGGTACAGTCAGGTCTTATTCACGAGTCATGAAGCAGTTTGTTGGTTTTTATAACTTTTCAAGAGAATATTACAATCCCCTCAGGAAAACAGAAACCTCGTCTATTTATAGAAACGATAAGAAGGCAGCGAGGAAACAGCAGGAGGAGAAAGAGATGGAAACAAATCTGAGCTGAAGTATAAACAGAGAGGAATTGTCAATACTTGTTCTGATCTCTGTTTTTGGTTCTGAGTGAAGGTTTTGGCTTGAGTAAAACGTCCAAAATATTGTTTTTGACTACTTGTTTCCCTGCGGAGAACTGCTTTAATGATAGTTAATGGTCTGCAGGTGGATAAGAGATTAAATTTGACACGTGTTTGTGTTTGTGAACTGGAAAACGGACTTCCGGACAAAGTGTTTTGAGCAAAACAATAAGCTTTGTTCTTCATCAAAATCATAAACTTGCAACTGTGCGTTTTTAATCACAATCTCTAATCTGGAAACACAAACATTTCGGTACAATTATGAGAACTTGAATATTTTTCACTAAAGCCTCAGGAAGTGCTTGTCTGTCTGCTTTAATATAACACCAATAAATCAGAGGCAGTGTGCGGGTCTAAACTTAGGTTTCCCATATTCAGGTCTATTCTCAGCTCATGACTGAAAATGTGCCAAGCAGAACCAGCCGGGAAGTTCGCGCTGTGTTACTTCCTGTCAGATCCGAAATGATACCAACCCACAGCGACATCTGAGCCCTCGACCCGCACAAAAAATACTGTAACCTCTTGACCCGTGTGCGGAAGGGTGGAGATGTTTGTTAAGATATCCTCCGAGAACGGAGGTGCGCTTACGTAGGTTAATCTGTGTGTGGGTTTATTAAGGTGTTGTGTGTTTGTGTGCGTACTAAAACTTTGTGAAAAACAGGAAGGCAAACACGTTCCTGAGGGTGTGTAATGTGAAGTGAGTAATTGTTTATTAAGGTTACATCGAGTGGAAACATAAATCATGATAAAACATGAGGCAAAATAATTAGAAACCTGGCACAACAGGTAAGGAAATTTGCAATTGGTAGATTATTATTATTTATATAAATGCATGATCCTTACAAATGTGGCACCATTTGAAAGAGAAATTAAAAGGATTTCCAACGATATAAAATTTATTGCCAGGAATCATTGTTCCAACTAAGAAATAATCTACCAAACAAAATTTTCTTACTTTTTGTGCTAAGTTTAGATTTGTATTTGCATGGCTTTGCTTCTGTGTGACGAGTTCAAAAATGAGTATTTTTCAGGTTTTTGTGAATATTATCAAAAGAATGCTTCACAATATATGGCTCTGTGGAGACTTTATGAGTAATTAATAAATAAAAGCATTTAAATAGCACTTTAAATTATGTCAATTTGAAGAAAATATAATTGAATTCCAACTAGAGGATAGTTATCTTTAAAAAAACAATCTCCAAAATGTTTTTGTTGTTTTTCTTTAATTTTTCCTCTCTGTGCCTTCACTGACCTCAGTTCTGAATCAGTTCCACCTCCACCCTGCCCTGAGGTGGATGATATATTCTGTCTGTCCATTGTCCTCCTGTCCAACACCACCCACTTTCTGTCTAACCTGACAGGAAACCAGAGCTCAGGACTTGGTGTTGCAGGAAGTCGCAGACAGATAATGCGAACAAACGTGAAGACGTTGTTTGTTGTTGGTTGTCAGTTGAGAACTACACAGAGCTTTGTCCCATCGCTCATTTGATGTTGGGATGAGTGGTCCCCACGAGACAACCCAAGGTCTCGTTTGAGGTCCTGGTTGTGTTTGATTTGAAGTTAGAGTTGGACCTGGTTTAGTTGGTTTATTGTACAGGCTTAAGTTTGTTGGTTACATTTTAGCCACAGTTGTGATACAAGTCTATTCATGGGCGGAGTTCGGCCTATACTTAAAATACAACATCCAGGTTGTTTTCAATGGAGAAGATGATTTAAAGCAGTGGTTCAGACTTTTTGAAAGTGGGCTCTGAGATAAAGTTATGAACATTGGGCCTCATGCAAGAACATGTTCGTATTCTTATCCTAAATTTCTCTTACTTTTGTTCGTACAAAGGGTTCGTACGAACATGTCACGTCAGATTCAACAAACTCTTCTATCTTCAGGAAAAGTGTGTAAATGAGCTGCGTAAATTCACCTGTTCGTATCCAGCTGCTCGTGCACGCGAGAGGAGATTAGCATAATTACCACCCCAAAAACACCATATAAGGCTGTGTTTCCTGCCTCAGATATCAGGAAGTGTCCATTCATGAAAATGACAGCGAAAACTAAAAATAAAAACTTTACGAGTTCAGAGATTGAAGTCCGTCTGTCAGAGATCCAGAAAAGAAAATCTGTCATTTTTAGCAGGTCAGCTGTGGAATAAAAAGAGCTGCTAAAAGTATAAACAACTGTGTTAAATCATTTTCATTTATTCAGAAGACACACCGTTGCGCACCGTACCCACCCACCCCCTGCTTGCGCGCGGTCGCAGGTGGTCTCAGTTGCGGTTCTGAAATAAGCATTTTAAAATGTTTTCAAAATAAGTCTGGCACTTTGGAGAAAACCCAGGACTTGCTGGAGGGATTATGTATCCCCTCTGGCCTGGGAACATCTCAGAGTCCCCCAGGACGAGCTGGAAAGTGTCGCTGGGGAGAGCGGGGTCTCTCTGCTGTCCCCCGCACCCGATCCCAGATAAGCCGGCCGGACGGACAATTTATATTGTTAGTCTAAATTATTACATTTAAAATTATAACTCTAATTCAAGCAGAATAGCCTATTGTCAACATAATTGTGGAGTGTGATTTATTTTCAACTCAAAATATCTTCAAACTAATGAAATGTAAAGTTATCAGGGAGGAAAACCCGTCTGGATAACAACAGACTGACTGCTGGTAAAATATACGACAGGTCTGGACCACTCGTGAATTTTGTTCGTATCTGAAAAAAATCTTAGAATACGAAAACATTGGTGAATGCCACAAATTCTCCTAAATCACTCGTACGCACAACTTAAGAACAAATCTGTGCGTACGAACGATTCTTGCATGAGGCCCATTCTTATCTGTTGTTGTCAGATGGCTTGAAGAACTTGAGTTTAACTCTGTCCAGATTGATATCAGTTTACAGCGCAGGTTTCAACTGTCTGGCTGCTGATGTGAGATGGTCGACTTCCACCATTTCATCTGCTTTTTGAAGTAGTGCCACAGCATGATACTACCACCACCATGCTTGACAGATATTTTGTTCATAGGATTGAAAGCCTTACCTCAACTCTTCCAAACTTACATCTTGTCATTGTGTTTCCAAGAAGTTCAAACCTTTGTCCGACAGTAAAACCTTTCTTCGGCTTATTGCTGGGGTGCAGATGATGTGGTATCGATGTCATGAAATGCAGATGGGGGCCAGGAAGTAAATGAAGCCATGTTTCCTTCTGTTGATTCAGTGTCAAAATGCCTAAATTCTGTGCCGTGTACAGTTGTTGCAGCCACTCTAATCAGGAGAAATGTCAAAGTTTTTTTCATGTTCTGAAAGTAGTGTGTCACAAGGGAGTTAAATTTTAAAAACTTGCAGAAAAATTAGGACAAAAGTGGATCAACAATCTACGGCTAAAAACAGGAAACGAATAATGCAACAGTTTGCAGTGACCACTTTCTAACAGGTCAGGATTGTATCGTTAAATCATGTTGTCAGATATTTTCCTGCGTAGTTACTTGAATTTGGGTTTACAGAAGCTAAATAAATTATTTGCAAGTAGATCCAAGCACGTAGAAATAACAGGAGTTAACTTGTTATTAGCGTTAGCGATAGCATTGTTATCATAGGCTAACTACTTAAAATAGCAAAACTCACCCAGGCAGAAACAAGTCAACAGACATTTAAAGTATTTTTGGATCCTAAATGTTTGACCCAACCTGAAACAAAATAATTGTAGCTTTGAAGCTTTTGAAAGCTTTCATTTGGCTCGTCGTAGCCTATAACATGAGGTCTGCATCACCAGATAGTAGTTTATGTTTATCGCCTCAACACTGGGTAAAAGGTCACTTTTACCTTTTAGGCACTTTAAATTAAAATATGCTACTACCACTGAGTGTTGTACTCCAAACACATGTTCGTTGCCTTTTTTTAAACAATGACAATAAGTTCTTGAATCCTATATAACAAGTCGTTTATTTATTAAGATAATACGAATCATATCCTAAATGTACGCATATTTGTTTTTTCAATATCTTGTCTACACCAGCCCATTTAGGGCATTAGCGTACTCGCTGTGATCCATTTCACTGTGTTTTGAACCAGAGCAGATAATTTCCTTCCCCCCCATCTGACATTCACGCGTCCTCCGGGTCATGTGACTGCAACCCAGCAATTGAGCTGTGGTCCATGGAGATGGACATCTGTCTTCACTGTGGACAGAGACACTGTTTTAGTTCCTGGATTATTCTTAAACATCTGAACCAATTTCATTTGGACCAAGAGTGACAAATGAGTAATACTTGATCCACTAAGTTCTGTCAAACAAAATGGTTTGCACAGTTCTATGAAAAATAGAGGTGGTGGCAGCTAGCTGTAGCACTACCAGTACAGCCCGGGTTGTTTAAATATATGTGTACTGTAACACTAAACAAGGATAAAATGTTGAATTAAAATAAAAACACAGTCTCTTGTTGCTTCAGGGTCCAAGAAGAAGACAAAGGTCATCAAAAACAACCCCAACCCTGTTTGGAATGAAGTAAGTTCAGAACCAAAGACCAGCATGAATGAACTTTGATCTGTAAATTATTCTTCATTGGAGCTAAACGAACCTTATTTTACCACCACATCCTGTCCTTCTGTCAGGGTTTTGAGTGGGACCTGAAGGGGATTCCTCTGGACTCGGGAGCAGAGATCCACTGTGTCGTCAAAGACCATGAGAAAATGGGACGAAACAGGTAAAAACCAGTGGAGCAGAGTGAACTTGGCTGAACAGAATCAGAACCCTACCATGATGATTTGAAGGGGGGGGGGGGGATTATGAAATTCTGTATTTTTTAGTTAAAGTTAACGTTTTGTTCCGACCGGTCTGCTCAGGTTTTTGGGGGAATGCTGGCTGGCCCTCAGAGACGTCCTCAACTCTCCCAACCTGGCCGCCACCTTTACTATCTCTTTGCTGGACACCAAGAGAAACAACACGGGGGTGAGCCGTGACGACACAGCATAAATCCTCTCAACACCATGAAACAACAACATCAAATAAATCACTGAGTTTCCTGTCTGCGGCTTAAAATAGAGACAAACCTGAACCAAGTCCAAATAACTTGTCGCTCTTTTTTATATTTAGGCCTTTTATTTGTTGGACCCATTTTCTGAATTTGAATAGTATATCACATCACTAATTTCTTAAAACCAAAACAAATAATCAGTCGTTTGTTTCTTTTTTATCATAGATACAGTAAATCTGTGTTTTGAGCCAGCAAGCTCCCTTTATTTAGTCTTTTCTCTGCCCCATGCTAAGCTAAGCTAAAATAAGCTAATGTAAGCCAGCTAGCTACATGTTAGCATTCAAAATTCTGTAGTTTTGGATTTCAGAGTTAATTTTTTTTAATTTTCTTACAGTTTAGGATTATTAAACTGTTAAAATGTTTAATAAACTCTAAAACTGTTTACATCGTGTGAAACATTAGCTGTTCATACATTAGCATTAGCCCAGATTTTCCTTTATATACTTAGTTAGCACAAAAAGTAAGTAAATTAGTGTTTGGTTGATCATTTCTTTGTTGTAACAATGCTCGTTGGTAATAAATCTTATACTGTTAGAAAGCCTGTTAATTGACCTTTTAAACTGTGTCACATTTGTAAGGAACATGCATTTGTGGGATGAGCAGTAGAGCATATTTTGATGTTTCTGTTGACACTTGTTTTGAGGTTTTGGTGCCAACTGCCAACGTAATATTGATTGCCAAGAAGCATTGACAAAAAAATAATCTACCAAACACTAATTTACTTTTTTTTTCTAAATATTTTTACATAACAACAAAAAATATAAAAGATTAGAGGCTTTTTGTTAAGTAGATTTTGTTTTCTTTGGCCGAAATAAGTCATTTTTCATGTTTTAGTCTTTGCATATGTGTGAAACCAGCAGCTGTATTCAGTTTTTGCTTTATTTGAATAAAAAATGAAATGTTACGACTTTAAATAGACTCTCTTCAGTTGATGCACTGCTCTGGTCTAACTGGGTGCTGTGGCTCCACCAGGCCACCCTGACCCTGCAGGTCTCCTACACCCCCCCTCCTGGATCGGCTCCAGTTTTCCAGCCGACCCCCCAGCCGGAGTCCCTGCCCCACATCAACCCCAGCGTGGAACTGGACACCGTTACAAGTGACACAACCCCAAAAACGAAATTATTTTTAATCTTTTATTTTTTATTAGATGCAGACAAAACCCAAAGGTTTGACCCCCGTCCTGTCTCGACAGTGATTTCTCTGGACACGTTCTGCGAGGAGGACACGGAGAGCATGATCATGGTGGAGCCGGCAGAGGAGCCGGGGCCCGACGACAGTCGCTCCATGGTGATTGTGGGCCCCCAGGGGCCTCCTGGCCAGGAGTCTCCCACCACACAGACACCCAAACGCTCCCCCCCGGCCTACAACACCCACGGAGGGCTGAAGAAGAGGAGGAGAGGATCCAACAGCCAGTCCAAACCTCTGGCCAACAAACCTCAGGACATACAGGTCAGAGGAGTTCTCACATGAAAATACATTTAGAACACGGGTAGTACTTCCTGTAGTACGGGTAGTACTTCCTGTAGTACGGGTAGTACTGAAAACTAACAGTATTTAGAGAACTTCAAGGTAAAAAGTATAATTAAAGACCCGGGTTTGTTCAGAGTTCGATTACTGAAAGTCCCCCACACTGTCGTTCTTCTCCCTCAGGTCCGTGTGCGTGTCATCGAGGCACGGCAGTTGCCGGGCATCAACATCAAACCCGTCGTCAAGGTAACCGTGGCCGGGCAATCCAAACGGACTCGCATCCGGAAGGGTACAAACCCGGTGTTTGACGAGGTGAGCGACTTTTCGCCGTTCTACCAAACATTTCCCGGAGCGAGTTCTGACGCTCGTCGGGTTTCTCTCCGCAGACGTTCTTCCTGAACTTTTTCGAAACTCCCTCTGAGCTGTTCGACGAACCCATCTTCATCACCGTAAGAGTCTTATTTAAGGGATTCTTGATTAGTTGTAACATTAGACTATTTAATAAACATATTTAACTGTAAAAATATATTTTAACATGGACAGACATTTTATTTACACGCAAAGCATTCTGGGTAAATGATGTGGATAGGTCCTCGGTGCGAGGCTGCTAGCGAGCTATATCCACCCTGAAGGTTAATCTTGGACAATATCTGATGATCGACTCTTTTAAATGAAACCAGAGAGCGTTGACAGAGAGGAGAAGGTAGAAATGACTCAGCCTGGAACTGAAAATATRGATGGAGGACAACAGAGCTGCTTCATGGAAGAAGAACCTCAGATTAGCCTGTTAGCTTTAGCATTAGCCCCGATGCTATCACCATATGTATGTATTAGCTTAGCGCTACACATTCTCCTCTCGTCACTGAGGTCCTCCATCCTCATGACAGAGAGGGGAACACAAAAATGACTCAGCTGTAACTGAAAATATGGATGGAGGACCTCAGTTTAGCTTGTTTGTCGTGCTAGCACCAAGCTAATACATACAAGGTAATATAACGTGGGCGCTAGCGCAAAGGCTAACAGGCTAAGCTGAGTTTCTTCTTCCATGAAGCAGCTCTGTTGTCCTCCATCATCATTTACCCAGAATGCTTTGCTTGTAAATAAAATGGCTCCATCAGTGTAATATATTTTTAAAAATTTAGTTTAAAAACTATAAAAACTGAACATCCTACAGTATTTTTACAGTCTTATTTCACAGTTAAAATAAATGTTTATCAAATAAAGTCTAATGTTACAACTAAACGTGGATCACTTTAAAAACTTTAATGGTTTGGTATTTAAAAAAATAATAACTGGAGTTCATATTTCCAGGTTTGTGACTCTCGCTCCCTGAGAACTGATGCAGTTATTGGTGAATTTAAGGTATTTTTTCTGGACATTTCTCTGTTCTAGTTTAAATCAATCAAGCTAAAATCCTTTTCCTGTTCTTCCAGCTGGATGTGGGCACCGTGTACAATGAACACAGTAAGTTGGTGGGAACTTACGGAAGCGTTTGGTTTAAATTTGACCTCATTTTGTATCGTCTGCACATTTCAGGACACTGCTTCTTGAGGAAATGGCTGCTGCTGTCGGACCCCGATGACCTCTCCGCTGGGGTCAAAGGTTACCTGAAGGTCAGCCTGTTCGTACTGGCAGCTGGAGACGAGCCGCCGGTGAGTAGCGTGGCCCGGCACGGTGGAGGAGACTCAAAGACGACCGCAGACGTGATGATTGTTTTCTTAAGCAGGCTGATAAGCGCGAGTGCGTCGAGGAAAAGGAGGACATCGAAGGAAACCTGCTGAGACCCGCCGGCCTCTCTCTGAGAGGAGCCGTCTTTTCTCTGAGGATCTTCAGAGCTGAAGACCTTCCGCAAAGTCAGTTCACCGGCGTGAGTTCAGTTTATCTGGTGAAACAGAAACTGAGACGACTGGTTTTGTTGCAGTGGACGATGCCTTCATGGATGGGATGAAGCAGATCCTCGGATTCGACTCCAACAGGAAGAACCTGGTGGATCCGATGGTGGAAGTCCACTTCGCTGGCAAAACGGTACGACTTTTCAAGAACCTTTTTTGTCTGCGTTGAACCTAACATTTACAATGTATATATAATTTTTAATCTTTCAGGTCTGCACTAAAATTCTGGAGAAAAATGCCAACCCACAGTGGAACCAGAACTTAGCCATGCCCATCAGAGTGAGACACGCAAACAGCTGTTGTGCTGAAAAACATCTACACAACCATTAAAATGTATTTTATTTTATTTTTTTTAGTTTCCCTCCATGTGTGAGAAGATGAGGATTCGGATTCTTGACTGGTGAATCAACATCTTTTAATTTCACAAAGACTGAACCGTCGCGTTTAATCCACGTTTTCAGAGCTCAGGTGGACAGAAAAGCTTTCAGGAACTGTTTAACCCTGAATGCTGCTCCGCTCCGGTGCGACGCACAGAGGAGGAGGCGTGTGCAGGAAGGAGATCACGTGATAAATTCAGTGATAAATGTGGAAGTCAGAGCATTAATTCTGTCTTAGATGAACTCCAAACACAACTGAAAACATTGATAAAATAGACTTGATGTCTGTGGTTCAAACTGTGCCGCTGTCGTCTTTTTGAAACTTCTGATTTCAAAATAAAATCCACGCGTATCGTGTGTACACATATGCTTCATGCTACATGTTGCCATCTGCTTGTATAACAGAACAATACATTCTGACAGCATTTGTGTAGAAATACAGTATATCCATATGTTGGTTAATATAGCTGGGATTTTAACAAAATTAGTCCAACTTGTGTCTTATTTTGAAAAAACAAATGTTGTGCTTGTTCCTTTTCCTGCTGTTGCATCTCCAGATTGATCCTATTTTTGCCGGACGCTGGAGCTGCTCTGGAGTGAATCTACAAAGATCACGTCGCACTAATAGGAAAAGGAACAAACACAACATCCGTATTTTCAAAATAAGACACCGTAAGGTGGAACAATTTTATTGAAATCCCATCTATATTAATAAATATGTGAATATATTTCTACACAAATGCTGTCAGAATGTATTGTTCTGATTGAGCATATGTGTACACACATAATACACGTGGATTTTACTTTGAAATCACAAGTTTCAAAAAGACGACAGCGAGACAGTTTCAACCACAGATATCAAAAGCTTTTATATAAATGTTATCAGCTGTGTTTGGAGTTCGTCTTTCACAGAATTCCACACTTATCACTGGATTTATCACGTGATCTCCTTCCTGCACACACCTCTATGTGACGCTGTATAAATTGATTTCTATGAATGAATAAAAACATCTGTGACGCGTTGGAAAGCCGTATTCTCCTGATAGCTTCAAACATTAATTTACAGAATAATAATTTGGCTGTAATTGAATGTAAAAGTTGGAGAAAATTGGATTTTTCTTCTCTTTTTAGGGACAGAGCTAGTCACAATGATGTCATCGGCACGACCCACCTCTGCATGTCGAAGATCTCCGCCCCGGGAGGAGAGATCGATGGTAAGAAACCAGTCCTAACTGGTCTGAACCAGAAGTGTTTTTACTCCACCTGGTTCGTCACGTCCAATCAGTTTTATGTTCAAGTTTTGTCTTCTGACTGGTTGAAAGCATTTGGCTGAAACTAAAATATATTTTAATTAAAATACCAGATTAAGAAAATAAATTGATTTATGGTCCATTCTTACAAAATAACCTGACAAATGTACTCGTATCTTTAAACATACTAATGAATCAGATTTAGCAGCCAGAGACAATGGCTTGATGAGCTAACGTAACTAACATGTAGGTTGTTTCTTTGTTCCAGCTGTGTTCACTTTACAGTAGATAGTATAATAACAAGTCCAAACTTTTTATTATGTGTTATTATGTGAGAAATGTATGATCGAATGTGGAACATTCACCTCGTTTATTGTAGTTTCTTGTTTGTTGTCGCTAATGCTGGTTGGTGATTGTTGTGTTTGTCTGACACGAGGAAATGATCTGGGAATAATATCCAACTCAACTTAACCGTGTTCCAGTTGCATATCAGAAAACCAGCAGAACCATAAAACTGTTCATTAATTAGTTAATGTGCTTGTTAACTAAGCTAACTTCCATTAGCAATGTAAGAAAACAATGGATTTCTCAGCATTCTGCTCCTGTAAGCACCGTAATATGTTCTCTAAAGCAGGGGTTCTTAACCTTTTTGACCTCGCGGCCCAACTTGTTGATCATAAAGTGACACGAGGCCCAGTCAGACGTTACTAATGTACGGATCAAAATGATAATTATTCTAAATCTTGATTTAAAATGATAGTTGGTTTAATTTGTATTATATTTGCATTGTAACTAATTAAAATACACTTACAGTTTAAAAGTAAAACTCCTGTCAAATAATCACAAGACATGATTATGACAAACATTTTTTATATCGTAACCTGCCCATAACAATTATTTGAACAAATACAAAGGTCAGTCAACAGACCACTAAGGCTTATCAACACAAAAGTAATTTTTTTGACACAATAACAAAAATAGACATTTCAATAAATAAAATTGTGATCATAAAATAAAAAAATTCAAAATGTTTAATGTAAATGTTTAAAATAAACAAAAGTAAAACTAAATTTGATAAAGTACAAATGAAAATAAAGCCTTAAACTTTTACATGGTAGAACCAGAAGCTGCTCTTCATATTAGTGAAAAAATAACATAACAGCTTTTTGACAAATTTAAAGTTTCTGTAAAATATGTTCAAAATGTTAAAAAATAAACTACAATAATTAATTTGATAAAGTGCGAATTAAAATATAGCTGCATCTGCAAATATAACTGATAATGTTTTGAACTTTTAARGTATTGCATGGTAGAACCAGAAGCTGCTCTTCATATTAGTGACAAACTTTGGCATTTTTTGATGGATTGCCTTCATTTATGCTTCTACTTTTTATTTAAAATAGGTTTCCAATCTCTGTGGGTATCTAAGGTTCTTCTACATATTAAAAAAGTTGTTAAACATCTGAGTGGTGCTCTACCACTACTAGTGGTGACAAAATGTATTGCACCTTATTTAAAATCAATGTGGGTCTCTGCGGCCTAAAGTTAAAAACTGTTGTTTTTTTGAGGCCCTCAATGTGGTGCTCATGGGTTAAGAATCTGTGCTCTAAACTATGATGCTACGTCTTTTGTACAACCCGTTTTTGTATCAGCCAGTATTTTGAACCCAACGTTGGATAAATTGGTGGTTTGTGAACGTAACAAAGCATGGACATTTAAAACCAGGACTAACTTGGAGCTTGAGTTTTCTGTCTTTGAAGTGGTGTGAGTCAAAGAAACACAGTTTGAGTTTTGCTGAGTTTCCTGCTGATTAAAGTTCTTGAGTCAGAACAAAGAGCGGCTTGTGTTTGGGTTTGAGTTGCGTTCAAACACCTCTGTTTCCTCTCTGAGTTTGATCCTCTGTAAATTGTAACCATCCTTCCTCTCTACGCATCCAGATGACTTGAGTCCTCGGAGCGTCCACTCTGGCAGTACGTCCTCCATCCTCTACATATCTTCTTGTTCAGTCTTCAGTCATATCAGCTTATCTTTATTTTCACTCTGTCAAATTTTGAACAATCTCAAATCGGTTTGAATATCTAATTTTCAAATATCTGATCAAAAAGCATTTCTTCAACGCTCATATCTTTTACATTTGGACCTTGTAATAAAGGTTTCTGTTCTTTTTGTCGTTGCAGTTGACGACAGTCTTGGCTTCCTGCCCACCTTTGGTCCTTGCTTTGTCAACTTGTACGGCAGCCCCAGAGAGTTCACCGCCTTCAATGACCCTCATGAGGCTCTAAACCTGGGAAAAGTAAACCTACACCAGTTTTTCTTCTTGAATATAAATAAGATGTTTGATATTTTTTGGTACTTAGTTATCAGGGTCTAATTAACCTCCTGTGTTTCCTCATCATGAGGCTGAAGTCAACATTTTACTGAAATATGGTGATGCATAAATATATTAAAATACGATGGATGGATGATGGATGGATGGATGGATGAGTGATTGGATGGATGGATGGATGGATGTATAGATAGATGGATGTATAGATTGATGGATGGATGGATGAATGATTGATGGATGAATGAATGATGGAAGGATGGATGGATGGATGATGTCTAGATGGATGGATGTATAGATGGATGGATGGATGGATGTATAGATGGATGGATGGATGGATGGATGGATGAATGATGTCTAGATGGATGGATGGATGATGTATAGATGGGTGGATGGATGATGGATGGATGGATGGATCATGTATAGATGATGGATGGATGGATGGATGGATGTATAGATGGATGGATGGATGTATAGATGGATGGATGGATGGATGGATGATGTATGGATGGATGGATGATGTATGGATGAATGGATGGATGGATGTATAGATTGATGGATGGATGGATGTATAGATTGATGGATGGATGGATGATGTATAGATGGATGGATGGATGGATGTATAGATTGATGGATGGATGGATGATGTATAGATGGATGGATGGATGACCTATAGATGGATGGATGGATGGATGGATGGATAGATGATGTATAGATGGATGAATGGAAATGTATAGATGGATAGATGGATGATGTATAAATGGATGGATGGATGAGTGATGTACAGATGGATGGATGGATGGATGGATGGATGGATGATGTATAGATGGATGGATGGATGAATGATGTATAGATGATGGATGGATGATGTATGGATGGATGAATGTATAGATTGATGGATGGATGTATAGATTGATGGATGGATGTATAGATTGATGGATGGATGATGTATAGATGGATGGATGATGTATAGATGGATGGATGATGTATAGATGGATGGATGGATGATGTACAGATGGATGGATGATGTATAGATGGATGGATGATGTATAGATGGATGGATGATGTATAGATGGATGGATGATGTATAGATGATGGATGTATGATGTGTGGATGGATGGATGTATAGATTGATGGATGGATGTATAGATTGATGGATGGATGGATGGATGTATAGATGGATGGATGGATGTATAGATGGATGGATGGATAGATGGATGGAT